ATGCTGAAGAGGATGTCCTAATTAGTTAATTGTGATGTTTTGTAACTTGACATTTTTCTAATAGTTTTGTATGATCTTTATTAATGATGTTTAAGATACACTGTAAACCACTTAGACCCCCCCAATATAAGCAGTATATAACTTGCCTAAATAAACAAATAAGTACAAATGTACACTTTTTTGCAATCTTCCTGACATCTATATGAGTAGAGCTACACCACCTTGCATTCCGTTCCCAACATCATGTGCCCTGACTGGTCCCTCCTTCTGCCATTTGAATGTTCATTGTGAAGGAAGGATTCGTTGCAACCACAGCAAAGGCTCCTCCCTGGTTGCTGGGGGAGAGGCTTGTCGGGACACACAGTGTATTTGGTGTGGCTCTTTCACACATGAGCCCTTCTTCTGCATAGGGCTAGATATCAGGGAGGGATTAGTTGGAGGCTGCAATGTCAGGAACCTGACTAACCAGCACAACCCTGCTCGCACATTCTCCTGAACAGAGCCTGTGATTGTCCCACTCCTTGGGGCACGAATATGGGGTGAATCATTTACACATTTGTACATACAAGAGATTGTGGCTGGCTTTTACATGGCACCATTAGTGAGTCAATTAACCAAGCCTGGTTCTTCCTGCCCATTACATAGACCTGTTTAACTGCAAATTGCCACATGCTTCTTTTAAAAGCCTCTGTAATGCTAGTACATTGCATGTGTTCAAATGACTTCACATGCATTATCTCAATAACCCTCGGAGCATGGTTGGGCAGCAGCACCCACCTGAGCTCTGGCCACCCATGTTGCTGCTGCTTACAGGAGGAGAGGGGAGCAAGGCGATGGTGAGGTCAGTGCCGTGCAAACACACTGGCAGGAATGCCAGACTGGTGCAGTGCAAATGCACCACAGCGCCAATCTTGCCACTGCCTTGCTCCCCCCTCCATCACAGTATGCAGCAGCTACATGGGTGCCCAGAGTGTCACCACCGGACCCCACCGGCTGCTACTGCTACAGCTCTGTGAAGCTAAAGCAATACCGTTTTCTGCATGTTGCCGTATAATAAGTGAAAGCTAAGAAAATATGGGCTTTCTCAATGACAGTTAAGTGTCTTTGTGAGTGAACGGAAGACTTCCTTGCTCATAGCTCACCTTCTTTGGCATCAGTCCTATACACACTTGCTAGGTGTATGTCTCAGTGAACCCAGTGGAAATTACTTCCATGTAGGCATGCACAGGATTGCACTGTTAGCCTCTGAGGTGCACGAACTCTCAGATGTGTACCATATCACAAAGTATATTGTAGCAAGTATCCAAATGGAGGTGATGAAGAGTTAGCATACAGTGGTACCTCGGGTTAAGTACTTAATTCGTTCCAGAGGTCCTTTCTTAACCTGAAACTGTTCTTAACCTGAAGCACCACTTTAGCTAATGGGGCCTTCCGCTGCCGCCGTGCCACCGAAGCACGATTTCTGTTCTCATCCTGAAGCAAAGTTCTTAACCCGAGGTACTATTTCTGGGTTAGCAGAGTCTGTAACCTGAAGCGTATGTAACCCGAGGTACCACTGTATTCTGTTTTGTGAGTCTGCATAAAGCGATCACCTGAAATAGCAACAGCCTGCTCCCTTTTCACCCTAAGTGGTGAGAAATGTAAACATTGCTTTTTCTGTGCCATTCAAATGACTAAAGTGCCAAAGGATGTCTCCGCTCTCTAAAAAGCCACTGTGGTATCCTTTCGTCAACTGATGACTGACTCCCACACTCATTAAGCCAAGAACTTCCCTGACTCTCTGTCAACAACTGCGCCGTCTGTCAGATCATTGCAGAATATTTCTTACAACATTTGCATACCAAATTTGAGGCACCAAAGAGTATGATTAGCTGCTAATGAGTCTACAAGGCCTACTGGACATTTGCAGTCGGGGTGGGGGTTGACATTTTTATTCTGACCCAACATACAAATCATGCTTATATGTCACATTTGTATTCCTACAACCTTCTCTGGGGTTCAGGGAAGTATACAGAGGGTTATCCCATTTTATCCCTTCAGAAACTCCATCCAATAGATTAAGCTGAAACATAGTGACTGACCCAACATCACCAAGGAGGCTTCATGGCTGACCTCTGAAGCAACATCTCCCTGATTCAGGTCTAACACACCAACCTCTGGCTTGTCCACAAATTTTAATTAAAAATTTAAGCTAGCAATTCTCACTAAAATACATGATTACATATTATGTGGGGCCTATCTACATTGCAAACTTAACTATAGTCTATTAGAGATCTCCTAGAATGTCACTTGCCACAGTAAAGATGTGTGTGTGTTCATGAACATATATCCAGGTTGTATTCAGTTGTGTCCCTCTCCTTGTGGGAGGTTCTTTTATCCAGTGGAGGCCTCCATTAACAGAAAGGCAGGGAAGAGATATTTGCATATTCCCCCACTTCCCTCTGCAGCTCCCTGTGTGCATCCCTAAATCTACTTCAGAACATTAGAAGATCTTTTAGAACGGCAGGTTTGGTGGTGCATGGGGAATGCGAGATAAAGGAAGAGTTTGCTAAAATCACCTCCCACGCCCCACCCCTTTAAACTGATGGAAGCCTCTGATGGGTCAGTCTTCCTCCAGTGGAGGGATGCAGTTGGATGCAACTCATGCACATACATGCCAACCTCTAGTGGTTCTTCGTAGCTTTCATTGCAAGTTCAAAAATATCTAAGACCTGCACTGAGTAGCAAAATTGATTTCTACAAGAGGAATTACAACAACAGGCTCAGCGAAGTTAATTACCCTAGTAATGCAATATTCCACAATAAAAGTTAAGAAAATTGGTCATGAAGAAACATACCAATATTATGATATTAGAAACACAACAATAAAATTAATGTCCCAGCATGCTACATAATTGCCAGGTGGTACTTATTAGGCAGTGTCTCAAGAAGCTGATATCTACAGTCCAACATTGAAGTACAATTCCAATTTCCAATCTGCAATCTGCAATGACCATGCAGTGATAATGCATAGGTATTTCTGAATAGGAATGCAAACACGTTGACTCCTGGTTTGGGGGAGGGAATCACAGGGCCATTCAGTTCCTGAGAATCGCAAGGTGGGGTGTGTCCTCTTGCACTCAAGCCCGGCTTATGGGGTCCCCACTGGCATCTGCTTAGACACTGTAAGAACTTGTCCACACCTCTGCTTGTCCCCTGCCCAGAAAGCATGGGTCTGAGCACTTTTCTGGTTGACCCACACTTTCTAGGCCCAGATCCAAGTGGTTTACCCTTTGCCCCACTGCTTTTCTGGGGAAAACCTGCTCTTTAGTACCAAATCAGAGCAACATGAATCTGACAAAAACCTGAATTAGCGTTCACTCTGAGGGAGCGCTAAAGAGCAGTTTTCCTTGGGGGCAGGGGCATATTGCCTGCTGGGGCAATAACTCTGGGGGCATTTTTCGGGGGGTACGCGCTGGCAGAGTGGTGTGAGGAGAACACAACAGGCATGCGCCCTTCAAATCAGTCTGATCGGACTGATTGGAAGGGCACGTGCCTGCCCTGCTGCGTCCTCCTCACATTGCCCTCCGCAACCTGCATCTGCCCGCCCCGGGCGCCATGAAGACATGCACCACTGCTGCTGGGGGAGGGGGAGCAGCAGGAACAGGATGTGGAAGTGTGGCTCAGCCCTCCAAGAAGGAAGCTGGACTAGGTGGGCCTTTGGCATGATCCAACAGGACCCCTCTTACATTCCTGCGAGCATCATTTTTATACTGTTTGCTTATGAACAATAGGTACATTAAGCAAATTCTCCTTGGATATATGGAAATCCTGAAGAGGGAGGAGCAGGTTTGAGTTGCTGTGTGCAATTAATGAAACTGCCTCCCTGTGATATTTGGGGACGTTTCAGAGGGATTTCATCTCCATACTCTCCAGGAAACTTCCCCTTGCTATATGATAAGAAAGTGCTCAGATTTGAGACTGGCACATTGGCACTATACAGTACAGTGTGTCACAGTTTCAGGCCGTGCCGGATTAAACTTTGTAGAAACCACTAGGCAGCTGAAATCTCCCACCCACCCACCACCCGCATTGAGCTAAGAAAGCTTGATTGTAATTTCCTTTCAAGATCAAATCAATATTATTTTGATCCGTTGTCACGGGGCCCGTAAAGGTGTGGGGCCCCTAAGGTGGTGCCTACTCTGCCTACTTGGTAATCTGGCACTGGTTTCAGGCGAGGGGGGAGGTTTTATTAAAAGTATCTTCCTCAACCCCCACCCCATTTTCCGTGGGCCTGGAACAAGCGCCACAAGGCTCCTGTTCTACTTAGAGGCTGACAGGATTTCTTACTTCTGGTTTCTAAATTACACCTCCTTGGGTTGTCTAGGTGACAGACAAAGGAAGGCATGCGAGAAGGAAGATTGGCTTTTTGACTGATTCCCAAAGTGGAGTTTGATCTTTATGAAATGCCAGTCGCTTTATCAAGCAAACTTGGTTTCATTACAAGGTCTTCATGAAACACTCAATAAATTTATGGGGTTCCTTGCCGCAGAACATTGTGAGGGATGTCAACATAAATGGGTTTATAAAAGGGATTAAGCAAACACCTATTTCTAAAAGTGCTAAAAATGGAAACAAGAATACATGTTTCCTCCCATTTTAGCCTCTCAGCAAACTTATAAAGTAGCTTAGGCTGTTTATTCCATCCTGGCAGCCACTAGAAAAAACAATAATAAATGTAAACATTTATGTGGGTAACCCTCAGGTAGGTCTGCCCCAGTGTTCAGTTCTGTTCCCAATCCTACCAATAATTCACTTTGATTCTCTATGAATTAGGGTGTGGGGGTCCAGTGGGAGGAAGGAATAGGGTAAAACCATGGGAGCTGCCTTGCACTGCAGCCCTCAGCTCCATCCTAGGTCCCAACCCAACTCAACAGAGACTTTGTCGGGTACAGGAGGCTGCTGTGGGGAGAATGGATGCACAATTCTCCTTCTGCAAGCCCAGCAGACAAGGAAAGCAGTGTTGATTTAAGCAGAGTCTGTCGTGGCCAGCGGAAGGATGAGTAATGTGTTACATACTCTATATTGCTTTATTTACAGTTCAAAGCTGGTATATTACAGAAAGACATCTTGCCTCTGCAAGAGCAGAAAAATGCATCCTCTCTCCTCGACAGCTTGGAGAGAATCACACAGTGAAAAACAGGAAACCAGTGTACGTCACATCCAGTCTCCCTTTCCCGTGAGAAACTCCAACAGTACAGACTGTGGAATGCAAACACCTGTCTTGTGACTGCAGTTGCTGCACAGTGAAGGAAAGCAGAAACCAACATCCTCCCCCTTTCTGTGAACATCACTGGGCAGCGTGTTCGTACAATATCAGTACAAACCCAACTTCTGCACATAGGTACAGTGTTGATCCCTCGATACAATCTTGGACAATACATCAGCAGGAATTTCATTACCTGGCATATAGGACACCGTTACGAGTCCCTTCTGAATACATTCCCTAGCATGCTGCAACTTTAATTGCAAGTGCTTTGTGCTTTGCTTACAACCTTCAGACTTCAGCAAAGCCAAACATGCTTTGTTGTCCTGGTAAACCTGGATTGGACATTTGACAGGAATTTTCATATCTTTGCACAATTGTACTAACCATTCACAATCCTTAAGTGAATAAGACAGTGCATTCAGTTCAGCTTCACAAGTACTTAAGCTAACTGTTGTTTGCTTCTTGCATGACCAATCAAACAGACTCTGATTGTACATGTAGCAAACTCCAGACGTACTTTTCCTGTCTGTAGTGTCACTTCCAAAACTTGCATCTGCAAATATCTCAAGACCACCAGACTTCTGATTGTTAAATCTCAGTCTGTAATGCATAGTGCCTTTCAAATACCGCGCTATGCGTTTCAGAGCTTTCCAATCCTTGACACTAGGATTGTTGACTTGTCTGCTTAGCAAATTACAGCTAACAGCAATGTCTGGTCTTGAACATCTGGCAATGAAGTTTAGCTTGCCTAGCACACTCCTGTACAGTGTAGTGTCAGAAAATGCTTCTTCAGTGTCATCTACCTGATAACCTGTTGTCATCGGTGTGTCTACAGGGTTAGCATCCATCAGATTTAGTTTGCTTAACACATCAGCAATTTTCCGTGACTGGTGTACTAGAATGTTACCATCTTGATCTCTCTCTATTTCCAGAGATAGGTAGTTGTTTACCTCACCAAGATCTTTCATGTCAAAGTGCTCTTTCAGTTGAGCTAGGCGCTATTGTACATTGCAACATCTTTCCAAAAGAATAATAAATCATCAACATAAAACAAACAGTACAGTTTCTTTTGCCCCTCCTCTTTGACAAATACACATGGATCAGCTTTCCTTGCTGAAAACCTAGAGAAAACAATACTTCAGTGAGTTTTGTGTGCCAACACCGTGCACTTTGTTTGAGACCATAAAGGGATTTCTTCAGAGCACAAACAAATCCCTGTTTTACCTGTACGCCATCAGGTGGAAGCATATAAAGTGATTCATCTAGAGATCCGTACAGAAAAGCTGTATTAATATCATGGTGACTAATGTGTAGATTTTCCTCTGCAGCTAGCTTGAGCATAAGCCTAATGCTTTCATATCTCACTGTGGGTGAATAGGTCTCGTGATAGTCTTCACCTGGTACCTGTGCAAAACCTCTGGCTACCAATCTGGCTTTGTGTCTGACTATCTTGCCATTTTGATCTGTCTTCGCTTTGAAGACCCATTTGCTTCCAAGCAGTTTCATTCCTGGAACTACTGGAACTAGCTCCCATGTTTTGTTCCTTTCTAAGGAATCAAGCTCAGCCTTCATGGCATTTAACCATGGCTCAGCTTCCTTTGAATCCAAACCCTGGATTTCTTGGAAACTTGAAGGTTCAAATACCTTCTTGGAGCTTTTAACAGCTGTTACTGCTATCTTAGCAAACTCATCAGCAAATCTCTTTGGAGGGTTGCCTTTTGTGGCTCTCTGTGACCTACGAATTAGCCTTAAGTCTTCAACACTCTCCTCTTCCTTCTTAGGAGAAAAACGACCTATTGTGAACAATGGTTCCTCCAATTCTTGATCAGAGCTTTCAGAGGGTCGCATAGAGGCTTTCGCACTCTTGAAATCCTCTGAATCACCCGATTCAGTTTCAGATTCAGACTCAGAACCTTCATCAGTGGGTGTGGGCTGTTGTGGTTGCTTTTGACTATCCTCAGTCTCATCACCGTCATCAGGATAACATTGGAAAATTCCCACATTCTCCCCCACTTTGCATTGTACTCAACACTTCTCGTGAGCTTAATTGTCTTAGAGTCAGTCATCATTATTCTGTAAGACCCTTTCTGATAACCTAGAAAGATACCATGCAATCCACGCTTGTCTAACTTGGAGTTTTGTGGTGAGTGAACCCACATGTCAGAACCAAAAATCTTCATGTGTTTGATGTATGGCTTCTTGCCAAACATCTTCTCATAGGGGGTACAACCAATCGCTGAAGATAGCCTGCGATTGTAACTGTAAACAAAACACGAGAGAGATTCGGCCCAATAACTCTCTGGAAGATTGGCATCATGCAGCAAGGTTTTTAACCCTTGAAGCAATGTCTGATTTGCCCGCTCCGCAAGTCCATTCTGCCATGGCGAGCGAGGACTAGACAAATCGTGTTGAATTCCTTTCTCAGTCAGAAAAGCTTCAAACTGCTGAGAAGTGAATTCCCCCGCGATCACTGAAAAGAGTCTTTATCTTCTTACCATGCACATTTTCCAACCAAGCACAGAATTCCTTGAACCTAGGAAAAGCCTCCGATTTCTGCTTGAGATTGTACACAAAAATATATCTAGAAAATGCATCAATGAGAACCATGAAGTATCTATTTCCACCCAAAGAGGGCGTTAGTGGTCCAACCAAATCAGCATGAACAACCTGGTATGGTTCTGTAGCTTTCCTACTAGACACCTTACCTTTCGCAGCCATTTTCACCTTGTTTGCTGCGCATGCTTTGCACTTCATGTGGTACCTGCAGGGTTTAATAGTCATACCTTCAACCAAGGCAGGCATTTTAGATACTGCCTCAAAATGCAAATGACCAAATTTGCGATGAAAATCGTGAATACATTCTGCATGCAAACTTTTGTTAGAACCTGCAATGCAACAAGTGTCATCCTGCACCACATCATCATAATACAAAACAAACAAATGATCAACATATTCTGCATGCAATACATAATCATTTTTCTTTGTGATGATGCACTTCTTGTTCTTGAAGGAAACGTCAATGTTCCGCTCATTCAGCTGTCCAACGCTGAGCAGATTATGTTTGGCGTCTGGCACGTAAAGCACATTCTGTATCGATAAGTCCAAACTGTGAAGAACAACAGTTCCGTAGCCTTTACTGGGAATAGTGTGGTCATCCGCCTGGTGAATCGCACCTTCCTGCGGTGTAAAAGACACAAACAGTTTCTTATCGTTGCACATGTGGTGGGTCGCCGCTGAATCAACAACGAAGAAAGATCTAGACGTCTTCTGGACCTCTGCAACCTTTGGAGTGAAGCGTGAAACCATAGCCTTGTGCTGCGTTGTCCTAGACACCGGACCTTTGCCTTTGCCTCGGCCTTTTCCGCGCGATGAGCTTTCGCTGCGCTGCTCTGTCTTGGCCCTGGGATGTCTGCATTCCCTCTTCATATGGCCTAGACGTCCACACGAGTAGCATTTGACTGCCTTCAAAGCTTTGGCGCCATCTGGTGGTTCCACTGCACTATGGGATGACGTCTGTGAAGACTCTCCTTGCCCATGCAGCTAGCACCCCGGCGATCTGCTTCATTTAAAATCACGGCAGTAACAAAGTCCACTGTCAGCTGAGCAGTTGGTTGCACAGCAATCTGGGTTGCAACAGACTCCCAACCTGAACCCAAAGATTGTAGTATCATGAAAGAATACACAGCCTCTGGAAAGTTGAGTCCTCTCTGTTGCAGCTCATGTCTCAGATTTTGCATCTCCATCAGATGTAAACGCACATCTCCACCTTCAGCAAGAGCCATATTATGCAGCTTGTTAAAATAAAACATAGTGGATCCAGCTTCTGTCCTTAAGTGAGCCTCTCTCAGAGCGTCCCAAATTTCTCTGGCTGAGGTCTTATCACGCAATAGACAGAGCTCTTCTGGGGATACTATCAATGTAAGAGTTCCCTTGCTTTGGAATCCTTAGCTTCCCATGCATCTGTAACTGGAACTGGGGGTTCCTGTAATCACCTCAAACAAACCCTCTTTCCGCAGAATTGCCTCTGCATACTGAACCCAGTCGCTGTAATTATTCTTGTTGAGCTTAGGAATCCCACAAGCATCCTGAAGGGCCATCATGACTCTGGCATTAGCCTTCAGCGTCATATGCTGCTTTAAATCTTGCTGCGTCACTGCTGCAGCTGCTTCATTACAAAGGCACACTTAAAAGTTACTTTCGATTTCCCCAGCATAGTGACTTGTGCCTGGGAGCCTTTTGCCTATTTCCGGCAAAACCGGCTTTAAAAGTTCAAAGTCCAGCCATAAAGCCATTAACTTGAAGCTGGCAGGCTGCCCGGAGCAGTAGCACATACCTCATCAATCACTTCTACGCGCAGAGCAGATTCCGTTCCGATCTGTCCTCCCTCTGCATTCCGATCCTCTGCCGGCACTCCGATTCGACCTCTGGAGTCCATAACCACGTGTTGATTTAAAGCAGAGTCTGTCGTGGCCAGCGGAAGGATGAGGAAAATGTGTTACATACTCTATATTGCTTTATTTACAGTTCAAAGCTGGTATATTACAGAAAGACATCTTGCCTCTGCAAGAGCAGAAAAATGCATCCTCTCTCCTCGACAGCTTGGAGAGAATCACACAGTGAAAAACAGGAAACCAGTGTACGTCACATCCAGTCTCCCTTTCCCGTGAGAAACTCCAACAGTACAGACTGTGGAATGCAAAACAATGTCTTGTGACTGCAGTTGCTGCACAGTGAAGGAAAGCAGAAACTAACAAGCAGATGCAAGAGCAGGGGTAGGCAAACTAAGGCCCAGGGGCCGGATGCGGCCCAATCGCCTTCTAAATCCGGCCCACAGATGGTCCAGGAATCAGCATGTTTTTACATGAGTAGAATGTGTGCTTTTATTTAGAATGCATCTCTGGTTTATTTGTGGGGCATAGGAATTCATTTATTTACACACACACACACACACACACACACACACACACACAGAGAGAGAGAGAGACACAATATAGTCCGCACCCCCACAAGGTCTGAGGGACAGTGGACTGGCTCCCTGCTGAAAAAGTGCAAGAGCAATGCAATCACAAGCCTGAAGTTGAAGTAGTTCTGGCCAAACTATTCAGCCCAGAGCTCTTCTCCAGTTTCAGAAGGGTGGATGTGTGCCAAAAAGAAATGCTGAAAGGTGAAATTGTTACCTGCCACTCCAATCTCTGCTGAGTGGGGCATGAGACTCCAGGGGTTCCTGGCACTTACACAGAGTTTGTGTTTCCTTTTGGAAATGAGTCACAGCAGAGACTGTGGTGTCATTATGATATATGGATTATTTATACATATATACAACCTGAGCCTAGATGAAGATTGCAGAGTCTAGGATTTCAGGGTGGATGGCATAAGTGATTGCAGAGCATTCGCACCCCAAGTAGGTCTGGCTTCCTCCATAAGCGCAGCTTTGGATTCAGAGAACAGCCAAAAGCCGTGCCCTGTGCCTCTTTTGTTCCAGCCTGTCACAGCTGGCCCCCATCATGTTCTCTCCCCCCCCCCTTGGTCTCTGCCCACCAACACAAGGCTGAAGGAAGGGCCCCTCCCCCTCCTTGACTGGCCGCCTTCACTCTCCCTTGATGGTTTCCTTGAGGGCCCATCACTGGTCTTTGTCTCTTAATGTCAGGGCCTGGGCAGCGGAGGAATGGTGGAGACCGCCACCCCATCCTGACCCCTCCAGGGAGGAGGAAGAGGAAGACAGTATAGATTTACAACAGGGGGTTGAGGGAGGTCATAGCTCAGAGGCAGATGAGGGGGAAAGTTGGGAAATAATGGGAAAGGAGGAGGCAAGACCATAACGGCAGCTGGCTGGCACGCTGTCCTTAGAAAACATTCCAGACCGTCCCATCTCCCAGAACCCGGCGAGCCTTAAAGGTAGGAGAGCCAAGAGCTCAAAGACAGAGGGCACGTAGCAGCAACCGTAGAGGAGACGAATGAGGAAGCGGGAGAGATGGGGGGGTGGAGATTCACTTGGAACAATGCCATTATCCAAGAGGCTGGGTTCTATAGGCTCTCTCTGTAATATTGAAATGAAAAAGGACAGTAAGGAACTTTGCCTTGTCTTTATACTTTCCTGGGCATCCTGACACGTAATGTTTAGGGAAGTTTTTAATATTTGATATTTTATTGTGCTTTTAATTCTGTTGGGAGCCGCCCAGAGTGGCTGGGAAACTCAGTCAGATGGGCGGTATATGTATAAATGAATGAAATTAATTATTATTATTATTATTATTATTATTAGCTTACACTCAGCTACCCTGCCAGGCTAGTCTGGCTGGTTAGCATAAGCTAAACCTAGAAATTTCTGTGTTTGGTATAATTTAATCAAACCTTGATTGATTCTAGCTTTTACTAATTCTAAGAATTATGGGTGCCTTTCACCCACAAAACTCTGGCGCCCCAACACATAACGATAGTATGAAATAAGACAGCAATATTCCTACAGTCAGATGGCGTCGGGGCCAGAATCCACAGGGAATTCATTCAGGGCAGCCACCCACCCACAACCTCAGGAAAGACAGGACAACAAGCCCCATAAATCTCAAAGGATCAAAACAGGTCCTATAAAAGCTTCCAAGTTGGTCTTGATATCTGGCTGTCAATTTACAAGAAAGTAGTGTGGGGGCTTTCTATTTTGAGAAGGAGCAGGCGAGGGGTCCACATTTTTTAAGAAACAACGATAACAACTCAGAAAACATCAGCTGTTGTTTCAGGTTTGATTCCACACCTGTAACAATGTCACTGATACGCTACTATTAGCCGCAACTGGCAACAAAAATACTCCTTTTAGCACACAGCTCTCCTGTCAATATTCCACAGGAAGCTCTCTCAGGCTAAGAGGGAGGAAGGCATTAAAGGAATCAGAACCATGGTAACAATAACACTGCCCAAGCCAAGTTGTATTCTGAAATGGGTAGGTGGCTTGTGTCTCTAGAATAATTAAGCAAGGGGGATTTTTACTGTGAATCCACTCTATTGAGGACTGGAATTGCGTGGGGTTTTTTTGCCAGAGAAACGGAGAAGACCTGTCGGTTGCCCTCAGCTATGTGCTGAGCTACTACTGTTTGTTTCCATGGACCCTCTGTCCCTCCGGAAATAAATTTGTAGTCAGAGGCAGCTGCCTTGGGTTGCTGCTGTGGGGCACAGCCACAGAGCCCTGCTTGTTGGGCAGCTGCTTGGCTATGGCTGATTATACCTGCGATGCTCTCTCTTGTGCCTGGAGACGGACAATGGAGACAACAGGAAGAGGTGGAGGAGCTGACATCCCTGCCTGAGGAGGCGCTTCTCTTTTGTCAGCCAGGGACTGCACTGGTTCTTTTTCACCCCTGGGAACAAGAGAAGGAGTGGCTGCCTTATCCCCTTCTAGCAGATTTTGGAGGGTGAACATTAACTACTCTTCATAGCTTCAGATCTTTTTTAGGACATTATATTTTTTTGGAGGCATTCATAAAGATCTTTGTCAGACTCCTTGCTTTGGACGCTTGAGGAGATCACTGCAAAAGCTTTGTGAATTTATTAACTCTGGTTAGCAAAGGAGGGTGGAAAGCAATGCTCGTCACTCCAGCGGTGCCTCCAGACAGGTGTTGATGGTGGGATAAGTGTGTTTTTCACAGCATCCACACAATATTGTTGACATCAAAATGGAAGCCCACATTTCCCCCAATTTAATCTGGATTTTCCTTTTCCAGGAAAAACCCAGTAAGTTAAAAAAACAAACAGACCACCAGTTGGAAGCATCCAGAATGGGCTCCATTTGCTTTTGAATGATAAAATGGTAACTGTCATCACATGAACATGAACTCTGGATTAGATTTATTGAGAAACCAAGAAAGAAGCAGTCACTCAGACTCCAGCTGGGGACAAGGAGAGGATAGCTGCAAACTGCTGTAAAAAAGTTAGGATCAATAAGGTTTCCCTCAGTGGGGAGCTGAACCCCGTAATCATTACTTTGAAGTCTAAAAATATGTCCAGAGAACTTTCAGCTCAACTTAGCCAACGATCAACCAAATCTTCCATCTATACTAACAAAACTCTCCCTGAAATCTTTTCTGCTGGTTGATTGCAACATTAAACAGGAAACTCGTGGCACATATCCTTTTGAATCATCTGATTTCTGCTTCACAAAATAGAAGCATCACTTCTTTTTATGGCATTGGAACAGCAACGTAGCAGCCATTTTCTGCCTTCAAGTGAAATGGTTTCTATTTTGTGGATTTCTTCTTAAATTGGGAAAAAAGCATTTTAACTACCCAGAAAGGCTCGTCTTCTTTTCCCAAAGGCATTTGCAAATTATACTTTCATGCCGCTTACTGGCTGTGCTATATTAGAGAGGATACAGTCAGACTTGGCTGATCAAGCTTAGTGTAGCCTTATGTTTGTGTTTCTGAAACATGGTAAACAATTTCCGAGCATGTACAAGCTCACTGACTTTCAAACAAGGAACATTTTTCTGACTTGAATAAAAATGAAGTCTGCAAGCTCATGATCTGTGTCTCTTATGAGGATTTGTATCTCTTGTACCCCGTGCTTGCTAATGGGAATAAACAGGTTTGGGTCCACCACCACCTACCAGTAAGTAATTTATAGTTTCCTTGCACAGCCCCTACTGAAGGGAATGGAAGTTGTGCGAGAGCATGCACCAATGTGGAAGTGTGGAAGGAGGCTCCCTGAAAACCAGGGGCAAATAACACATAATCTTATGCCAATAGTGCAAATTCAATTTCTTCAACCACTTCTCCACTGTCAATGGAAAAGAGCCAAGCCCAACTATTGTTCCTAAATTTCTCTCTCTCTCTCTCTCTCTCTCTCTCTCTCTCTCTCTCTCTCACACACACACACACACACACACACACCATGCTCCTTTTCTTTTTCACTTGCATTCTCTTTCTCAGTGGAGAGTTAACGTATAGTAGTCACTCATTTAAGGTGAATAGGGGCTGTGGAGATGGTCTTTTGAGTGGTGATGCTCCAGTTATGGAAGGCTCTCCCCAGAGAAGTCTTCTTGGCACCTGCTTTGTTGTCTTTTCAACACCCAGACCTTATACACATAATTTTAGCTGCCTTGATTGTTTTGTCTTGCTTTATAAAAGTTGCCGCCTTTTACTTCTTGTGGTCATTATGACTGTTTCATTTGCATTATTTTTATTTCAACTGGATGATGCCTCATACTCAGAGCAGGCCTACTGAACGAATGGACTTCAGTAACTTACGTCCACTGAGTCTACTCTGAGTATCTGAGTTGGAAATTACCCATCGCCTTTGTATTTTCGTCTTATAAAAACTGCCTTGAGTATATTTTATGAAGGGTAATATGAAAAAAGTATAATGAATGAATAAGCAAACAAATAGAATGCCCAAAAAATTCACAACAATTATATGGAAAACAGCCAAATTACAGGCTGCTCATGTCCCAATAAAAGCAAGGAGAAACAAATATGAATGGGAACAGCAAGAATGAATGTGAAGTTAGTGAATATGTAATAAAACATAAAGGATTTAAATGATTCTGGTGATTATCATTTATTTATATAAAGCCATCAATGTTCCTAGTGCTGTACACAGTCAAAATAAGAATGCCACCCTGAAGGG